ACAACAGTCGACTTACCTATACATTCCAAAACCGCTTGTCCGTAGTTCAGTTGAAAGTATTTTAATCGACAAGGTTTATTATTCGATCAATGAATTCAAAAAATTGTTGTTGTTCCACCGTCCAACAGCGACATGATATCCGAAGTGACCGGTACCTATAGGAATACCTATATGACTTACGAGGACCTGACTCGTTAATTAACTAAAAATCGAAGGGGGTTACCACTAGTAAAAAAAGTGTTTCGAGCATTTCCGCATTTCATGCATTTCGTAAGCATTTCATTCATTTTATAAGTATTCCATCCATTTCCATACATAATTGGTAGGTATCTGGAGCATTTTATTCTGACACTTCATTACATTTCAACCCATTCAAATGCATTCCAAGCCATTTCGGGACATTTTACCACGATAGCATTTCAAACCATTTTGTGATATTCCAAGCATTTCATTATATTTCATAACATTTAAGGTATTTCGAAGCATTTCCAAGGATTTTCGAACACTTCGTACCATTTCCCTATAGGATTTCATTTCATGTAATTTCATAATATTTCGAAGCGTTTCAACGCATTTCAAGGTCTTCAATGCATTTTAAGGAATTTCAATGAATTTCAAAGTATTTCAAGGTATTTCATGGAATTTCACGGCATTTTAAGGTATTTCATGGCATTTCATGGTATTTCATGGCATTTCAAGTAATTCAAGAATTTCAAGGAATTTCATGGTATTTCAGAAATTGCATCTCGTGACCTGTTTCACGCATTTCCTAAGTGGTAACCATGGTGGTAACCCTCGTGGTAACCCCCTCGCTTAAAGTTCAGTAACTGAGAAAATATTCGGAATATACAGGATGTTGCGAAAGCTGATCGCCGTCAATGCTTATTCACATGTGATTGCTCTTGTGATTCGATGAAGAATTTGATAGAAATAACTCAAAAATGGCTGAAATATTCTCAGTCAATTTCAGTATATATATCATGCATGATTTTATCTTCAGAATCCTTCATTTTTGACGTTACAGTAACCTCGGTCATTATATCCAGTGACATAACACAGGGCGTTGTACAATTTTCTTCCCGATATTTTCTACGCCACTATTGAAATTCTGATCATTTTCGATTTTTCTACTGAGCATAAATAGTTCTCGAGGTATTCTATACAAAATAAAAGATTGCGTAGTAGATTTTCATTATGTTAGTGGTAAAAAATTACAGAATTTTTCTGTTCAGCTATATAATGAGAACTAAGAAGTATATATCTACTCACCACCAGAAAAATATTTTTGTAGTAAAATGCTATTGAAGTTGAAGGTGATGGGTTTTTTAAATAAAATCAATGAATTCGGGAAATAGAAAAGAATTGAAATCTCATCAGTCGTGTCAAAATTATGAGAGAAAAAGTTACTACAACCCAAAAATGGAATTTTTACGGATCATCCTGTATATTAGTATATTTTTTAATTCAATATGAAATATCATGTATGCTTCATGTATACGTTAGGCCGATGTACAACAATTTTATATATATATTAATATAGTTAAAACTTAAAACTAATCAATTTGACTAGTTTCAAGGATTGTGAAAATCAATTTTTCAATTCACCTTTACAATATGAAAAATTATTGAACTTGAACTAAAATTCATCAAAGTACGAATATACAGGATGTTTCATTGAAAAAAAGTTTTCATGAATAATTCAAACAGGTGATGATCAATTGTTATTTTGTCTCACCATTGTTAATAGCGGTAAAAATGCTGATTTAACCAATGTCGTAGTTTTTAAATTGAAGAAGTTGGATAACCCCTTCGATCATACAGTATATTGTAAAAAAACTTATCAATCAAAAATATTCACTTCTTTTCCCATCAAGCTTATTCTGATTATTGGGGTAGTGAGTAGATGCACGCCTACCAGTAATTATTATAGGTTGTTCAAATGAAACAGCAAACTTTTTATAATACAAATTTATTATGATTTTATTTTGATACACAATATCCCTTGCGAATTATATCAGAACTTTTACAAAGCTACCTTTCGATTTTCATTTTCAAATTATGAGGTAAAAACGTAAAAATCGTTGTCTCTCACACAAAAAGACAAACTTCTGAGCATTACGCATTACAACAATATTCATTACAGGACAGCACTTATCTAAAAACGTTATGAACACCTTTCAACACGAAGTCATTCATAAAATTTCGCGAATCATTCCATAGATTGGTGTAGTAAGTAGCCTAGACGATCAGGAAGAATAAATATTGGCAGAACCACTAAACCTAATCGAAATTTATCACAACAATTTTAAATCATACAGGGTGTTCTGGTAAAACTAGTGCTGTTTATTCTGAGACGTAGGTAAGACTAGTTCAAGTTCACACCAATCTTAGCAATTGATAAAGAAGCAGACCAAAATTTTCAAATAATAAGCGGCGAAACGAAGAAACACAAGATATGACATCACACGGAGACTTGCACAGAATGTGCCTGAATCACATAGTATAATTCACCAGCCTCGGTATAGGACTGTGGAAAAGGTATGTTCGTTTCATTCTGATCAGAACAGGACTATTTAATTCAATTAGTTTTTTTGAACACAACTGAAATTATATCATTGGCCTTGCACAAGCATGATTATGTTTAATTTGATATAATACAGTGACGGATTAAGACGTTTCGCGGACTGAGGCGCCCCCTTCTTGATGGAGAAAAAGGACAATTCCAGGGGCGTCAGTTTAGTGTATCCCAAGGGTGATCAAGAACCCCAGACAAACTGCTTGGTTATTGAAAGCGCCGTAGACGAAATTTTCTTGAAGTGCAAGGTCAAATGCGTTCAAATTGAAAATTAGATTTGTTCCAGAGTGACATCAACTCCATTTCAATGTATACTAGGACCAAGGAGGTCAAGACACTGAGACTGAAATTTTCTACGGTAAAAATACGCCGCAGACGAAAATTTTGTTGGGATTCAAGGTCAAATGCCTTCAATTTGAAAATTAGATTTTTTCAAGACTGACAACAACTGCATCACATAATTGTATTATAAATAATTCAGTTACATGTTCTCTGTTTGTTACAATAATTGATACCTATCTGAAAATATGAACAATTGAAAAAGCAAGTAAAATGTATTTCAGGGATAGTGTCTATAGGTTAGCCAAAGCAGGTAGATGTTACCAAAATGTGTTGGGAGCGAGGGATTTTTTTTATCGCTTGGAGCGCACGAAAGGGAATTCCTATAATATTCAAAGAACATCGTGCGTTCCTAGGGAGGATAGGGACAGTAGGTAGGTATTGGAATTTTTTTTGAACTTCTGGAGATTAAATGTTGTTGGGAATACTTCCTCAGGCAATGAATCCCAGAGCCTAGCCGTTCTAGGGATGAAGGAGTTTTGATAAAGTGCTGTTCGACATCTTTCGAGGTTGACAACGAAAGGATGTGCTGACTGTGCTTGTCTAGTTCGTCTGATACTAACTCATTTGTTCAGTTTAGCAAAATAATTCAGAGATTCCCTGATTCACTTCAATTTTTTTGTCGTATCCGAATCAACAACCACCACTCATAACAGGAAACAGGTTATTCATCAGTCCATCATAATTTTTACATTTTTGAATAATGGCTTCAAGCTTCAAGGACTGATACAATACTGATGTATATGTTGTGGTTACAGGAAGAATGTGAGTGGAATAATATTTTGGTAGAAAGTCATGGGGAGGGGATGGTCTCTTGAAAACCAATTGAGTTGTCTTTTATACAAATCTAACATGGTATTCATTGTACTAGAAGAGGACCAACCACTGTTCATTATCATCAACAGTTTCAATTAGATCAATATAAGTAGATACCTACAGCTAGGTTATGATGGATTGGTTATTTAAGAGTTCTTATCATTATTTAATCATAGTATTCCAAACTATGTATTGTGGGTATTGCAGCACAGCCATACGATGGAAGTAAATTCTCGCTCTTATATTGGTGATTGAAGAATACTATTGATGCTTCACACTTGGGGTCTAACGGGAATGATAACAGAGATATACGGTGTTCAAAATCGAGATTTCTGTATCTTGAACCTTGAACCACCTTGTATTTGTTCCAAATCAACGTCAGTAGGTAGTGAATCAAAAGTTAAACAGGGACATGTAAGCCGTTTAGACCAATTATGAATAGTTTCGACACACAAAGTTGTTATTAAAGTTGGAAATTTTCGATTTTGAACACCCTATATCTCTGTAATCATTCCCACTAGATCCCAAATGTGATGCATTGATAAAATCAGCTCTCCAGGGAGAATATAAAAATGCAATGAAATAGAGGGTGTACCACATGAAATAGCAAAGTTGTTGCTACCGTTCTATAGAGGCGGCAACGCCGCAGCGTTGAAATTATTTTAGAACGATGGCCCCCTCCGAAATGTAGTCGACGTATTCCACTGCTTTTTCATAATCCGGTTCTGGCGACCTTCAGAGCCTCTGTATCGTTTTCAAAGGGCCACCCTGTATATTGTGTTAACGTCAGTAAACTTCTACCGTGGAATTCTTATTTCTATGTAGTGTAAAAATACTTTGAATGGTTGTTGAGCAATAAACATTAATAGTGCTTATCGGTATGTGACGTCATAGAGAGCTAAACACATATTCGTTTTGATTTTAAATAATGAATAACTGTATGAAAAACTTTCAAAACTTTTTCAACCGCGTTCAATACATGGAATGATCTAATGATGATAATTCCACAAGTGTGTACGACCCAATACCTGAGGATGCGCGAAGTGCCATCTTTTATTATCATAAGAAAAAGTATTCGAGACGATTTCAACATGGCGAGAATCAGTGTCTGGTCTGATCAGAATGAAGCAAACAAACCGTCAACGGTGCTGTCTGAGACACTTGTCACAGCTTGTTTTAAACAATATGTCTACTCAAAAGAGTCTGAATCTTTCGAAGGATTTCCATCACATGATATGTTGGGATTCGTGTTTTTTTATCATCATTTTTTGCAATAAAATTGTGGTGGCTGAGTTTCGTCAGGGAATTTTAGTCTGGTCCACTGATAGCATGATTTTTTGCAAACGTATGCGCATACGTCCATAATGCATCACGTGATTCACTGTGACAAATCTGACACTGACAATGAGGTTTGGGAATTGCTTCGTGAAAATTCAGTATTGCCTTTACTCTCCGTGTGACGTGAAAATATGGCCGATACGCCCCGCCCACCTGTGCCATATCACATCTTGTGCTTCTTTGTAACTCTTTAATAAGCTCACTCGAATTCTGTGACTCGAACTCCGACAACTATTCAAATCAAGACTTTGTGCTTCTACCGGTCTCGAAACACTTGGCAACACTGTAAACACGTCTATTTTCCATAAAAGCCCAACCAGGAACTATTTCGAAGCAGTCTGAGGGGACGGGAGGCGGATAGAAAATAAAAATAGAAACAGCGGGACTAGAGATTTTTTTATTAAAAAACCCTAACTGTAAGTTCATCAGTATCAAATGGTTCCTTTTAGAGATAGCAATGGTATGAGAAAAGCTAACACGAAAATATGCTTGAATATAATCGTTTGAAAAAACTAGCAGAAGTCCGTCGAAGATTCTTCAATGCGAAAATTTTCAACGAACTTCGGAAACCTAAGAATGTATCCTAGATATTCTAAAAAAGAACAATGACAGTTGAGACCACAGTAAAAAAAATCAAATGGTTGGCAATAGGTGTGGTTATGTTACAAGCTAAGTAAATGGCTACAAGCTGGAAAATGTTTTTCACTTGAATTTTGATTCCTCTCAATCTTATAACATAACCTCAAAAATTCATAATGCATGACGACTAATCGATGGATGATATTTTTTGTTGTAGTTGTTTTTTTTTGACAAAGAAAAAGGAAATCAATGTTCCTTGAGAATGTTCACAAACTTAATGATGTACTCGGAATACACATTGCCGATTCGCTGTTATTATTTGAAAAAAAAAAATACAACTTATTGATAATATAATAAATTTTAAGCCGCGCGGCATGGCTGCTTACAGCGGCCCACACTACCTGTAACAAACAGAATTGTTGTAAAACAACGATTATACACGGAGTGGAGAAAGTTAATCAGTCGTTCACAAGTGCGTTTGTGCATCCATGTGTGATTGTGTGTTATACATTTTCTACGACAACTCGTTCCTTCATAAGCCTCTTTTTAAACCTTGTCGTTATAAATATAAATGACAGCCTAGCAGGCGAGGTATAATATTGTATGCTCATTAAAAAAACAAATGCAACCATCGCCCTTATCGACGATATTTTCAGTAAGCCTGTTATTCATGTTATCCCCTAACCCTAGACAATTTTCGTATCCCTGTGAAGTGTGTTAACAAAAATGTCTCATGTTGAAACATTTCAAGTATGAACATTGCTCATGTAGATTGTAGATGGGTCGTATAGGCTGGAAGAACTCTCGATCACTGCGACCTATTGTGATTAACCCTATCTAGTTTTGGTCCTCTAACCCTAGACTTCTGATGAAGCCTACGATTTTTCTGACTGTTGACTTTTCCACTTCAGCAGGGGTGAGATAGACCTGTTCTAGGTGGTTCAGCCTTTGGCGGACTAATACTTCACATGAGCAAAGTATGTGTTCCGCGGTTTCGGTCGCATTGTTACAAAAGCGGCAAGTGTCATCTTTTTGAGGTGGTACCTCAGCCTGTGAGAAAGCCTGTGATAAGCTTTAGCTTTGGTTTGCTGAGGCTGAGTAGCTCCTTGGCTCGGTTCTGCGAATGGTTGATGAACCTTTTCGCTTGTCGTTGACCTGGAGTTGCTCTCCAGTAGGAGGACTTTTCAATTTCTTCCCATTTCCCAAGTTCTCCCTTTAGGTGACATTTGCTTATCCCACAAAAAGGCTCAGGACCAAAAAGTGCAGATGCTGCACCTTTTTTTGCAAGGCGATCAGCTGCCTCATTTCCTTTGATTCCTTCATGCCCTTGAACCCACATAAGTGTGACTTTGTTGCCCTTTCCCAGTTACATGAGTGTTTTAAAGCAGCCCCATGTAATCTTTGATGTGAAAACGAATGATTTTAGGGCTTTTAGTGCGGCTTGGCTGTCTGAGCAGATATACAGTATGATGCAAATGTATGGAATAAATTCATTATTTCAGAAATGGGCGACATTTGAAGAAATTCCAAAAACACGTGTTTTAATTTTTGAAGCCTCATCTCATGACAATCATATGAGAGATGTTACGTCACTGGTGTAGAAGTAATGACGTAATGGACGATTTTTTCAAATACGAGCAGGGGTCATGTGACACCTCGTTTGAAAGGTCTACTGATCGTCTATCCAACAGTCAAACTTTTGCTTAAGAATATTGCAATTAAAATGCATTATCATTTGGTAAACTGAATCTTGCAGAGGTCTGCTACTGAGAATTGAACATCGAAGGGTCGTCTAGTTGAAAAAATACACATTGAAAAAAGTTCTGAACTCCAGTTTTTGGATTTTTTTCGGAAGTCGTCTTGTTTTGAAATGAATTTATTCCATACATTTGCATCATACTGTATATGTTGGCACCCCTCAGACTTTTGCTCAGGCACCTTTGGGCGCAAAGGTTGATGGCATGTATTTCAGCTTGGAAGATAGTGGGGGAGTGACCTAAGGCTTCAAATAGCCTACATCCGGGTCCATATACACCCGCTCCTACCCCTTCTTCCATTTTCGAACCATCGGTGTACCAAACAAGGAACATCGCTCATGGATTGCACATACTTGAAAATATAATATTTTTTTCGACATTTCATCTCTGTTGACCAGTTACAAAATGTCACTTTTGATAAAATTACTTTCTTCCCACGGGAAAAGTTTGAACTTTTTTCCTGGATATATAGGTGCACTGTTGATGGCTTTTTGTTGTACCAGTTCCAAAAAATAAGCCAATAAGACCGTATCCGAGAAAAAACGACCTTTTATTTTCCAGGTTCGCAATTTTTTAAAATCAAATCAGAATTAAATTAACAGATATTCGATTACTCCAAAAGGTTTCCATAGCAAGATGCCTACAAAAAAATGCCTCCAAGCAACGCAGATGTGAGGTATTTTTCCCTGTCACAGAAAAAATAGTGTATTATACACGGGAAAAATATTAGATCATATCCAATGAGAAAAGCACAAAGTCATCTCCACGACTTTTCAATTTGAAAACATCAAACATGTTTCGGACATATGCAATGTCCACCTTCAGTCTATGCTAAGAAGTCCTACAATATAACCTACAACCCATTTCTCGAGTATCTGCTGTTGTAATAAAATAAGGATAGGTTGTAATAAATTGTAATTAATGTGTTGAAATAGTATATCACGTAATATGAATATATGTTGTAGGAAGCATATTACGCACGACTTGAAAAGTTACGCACTTAGGAGCAAAATAATAATTTCAAATTTCATTTCTACCCAAGAAAAGAAATAAGAAACAATTCATCATGAATATAACAGGTACTAAAGTTTCGATTGCAGCATTCGACGCAATTTCAATATCGGAATTTAAACTTTCCTGATACGAATTCATGTAGATGATTTTTTTTTCGAATTGAAATTAACGCGTCAGAGTTGACAGTTCGCCGGATGAGTGACAACCGAGGCTATATTCCGAATTCAACTTGTCAGTACTGTCAGTAGATCCACTGAATCTGCTGAAAATCTGTGTTCCGAAATATAAAATCAAAAATACAGTGCTGTAATTCGGGACACTTTTTCTTGGTTTTCATCAGTAGTCAGTAGCAGTTGATCAGCTGGTGAAATTTGTCATTCTGTAGTTTCTCGTTTATCTGGACTAGATATTTAATATTTAACATGAAAGAGCAATCGATTCTGGTAGCCTCCATAGTTTCTACGATTATTGACGATGACGATTCAGGCTCGAGTGATAAAGAATACTTGGACATTTTGTTGCCATTAATTTCTCATGATGCACCAGATTGAGAATTGAAAGATTTATAGAAAACGTAATGATGAAGAATTTAGGAGACACTTTAGGTTTATTTAGTAATTTTTTCAGCCAATGCTGCTTCTTCTTTTGTTACCTCTACTACTTCATACTCAATATTATTCTGAGCGCTTATTATTTCAATAACAGGTATTTTCTGATATTGAGAATAATAACAACGGAAATGAATGTTACATTCGTTCCCTCTCTTAAATAATGACAGTTCACTGAAGCCACACTACCTTCTGATACTCAGCAATTTCAGCAGAATGTTGAGTCGAAATATTTGGAATGAATAGTATGTCTGCTCACAAGCATCTGTCACTTTCAGTGATTTTTTTGATTTTGGAATGAAAAATCAGCAGATTCAGTACTGTCAGTTGAATTCGGAATATAGCCCGAAAACACAATAGATTCACGACAACCACACCAGCCCTTGCAACGCTTGCTTGTTACATATTATTCCTAATGAGTCGTCAGTTCAAGGAATATTGAATATTTTTTATTAAATAATTAGCTTTTGGCAGTAGGTAAAATATTGTACTATATTCGTATAGTAAACTCATATTACGATAATCGATAGGTTATCAAACTTGGCCTTCAGCGTCGTTTGACATATTCTCGTATGGTAATATGAGTCTTTACGATACTCGTATCGTAAATATCTATTACCTACTGCCATATAGTACATCAAAAAAGTTTGGACAAACAGTCTGAATTATAGTTCTTGACAGTTATGTCATCCGCTGTTGACGGCAATTAAGCGATCATGACTGGCGGAATAAACGAAAACTGTGCGATGTGCTTACTGTGAGTAAGAAGCTACTTAATGAGGCTGTATCTCGTGTGTTCTTGCCTACTTTATACAGTGTGTCCCACTTACCATGCTCACCATGGGTATCTTTTTAACGGTGAGAGATACGAGGTCGGTTAAATGGCACCAAATGTGGAGTTTGTCAAGGCTAACTATAATGTAAAAAAATATTTTGATAAAATTCATTCGTTTTTGTTTTATACGCAAAAAACAGATTTTGATCATTTTCATGTCTCCTCCGTAACTTCTTTATTTATGGAAATATTCAAATAGGAATTTCACATTCTCATGGCAGTTTTTCAAAGTGATTTCGAAAAAAATATGAAATTCATACCAACTCTTCTAGAATTTGAGATATCAGCACCAACTTTAGTTTTTCAAATGTAGGTCATAGCTCACTATGACTCAGTTACCAATAACTTTTTTTTCTCTTACAGATGCTATGGCGCAATAATAGTTTTGTGTTGATAACAACGAAGTTATCGTCATTCATACAAAAACAAAAAATTATTTGGAAGCCGCCATCTTGAATTTATAAATTTTAACAAAAAAATCATGATCTCCGACCTCAAAAGCCCCCACTTACCAATTTTGAATGGAATCGGACCAAATCTTGTTGAAATTAAAAAAAATGGCTGTTCCAAGATGGCGGACAAGATTTGGTCCGAATCCTTTGAAAATTGGTAAGTGGGGGTTTTTCAGGTCGGAGATCATGATTTTTTTGTTAAAATTTATAAATTCAAGATGGCGGCTTCCAAATAATTTTTTGTTTTTGTATGAATGACGATAACTTCGTTGTTATCAACACAAAACTATTATTGCGCCATAGCATCTGTAAGAGAAAAAAAAGTTATTGGTAACTAAGTCATAGTGAGCTATGACCTACGTTCGAAAAACTAAAGTTGGTGCTGATATCTCAAATTCTAGAAGAGTTGGTATAAATTTCATATTTTTCTCGAAATCACTTTGAAAAACTGCTATGAGAATGTGAAATTCATATTTGAACATTTTCATAAATAAAGAAGTTACGGAGGAGACATGAAAATGATGAAAATCTGTTTTTTGCGTATAAAACAAAAACGAATAGATTTTATCAAAATATTTTTTCACATCATAGTTGGCCTTGATAAACTCCACATTTGGTGTCATTTAACCGACCTCGTATCTCTCACCGTTAATAAGATACCCATGGTGAGCATGGTAAGTGGGACACACTGTATAGTGGCCGTAGGTAAATGTTTATAACATTTTTTCCGCCGTGGGTTACAAATGCTGGTGCAGCATTGGGTGCATACATAAACAACACTCAGAAAAAAAATTTCCCCATCTCTGGTAAAGAAGGTAAATTGAGAGGCAGACACATTTTGTTTCAGTGAAGAGACAATATTATATCACGCCTAATAGGTTTTCATTTTGAACGGCGATAGCTCAACAAATGACAGAGCAGATAGAACATTGTGGATATTATAATGGGGACAGTTTGAACACTTTCAATGGCTGTAGCTCATGAACCGAAATATGTATTGAAAATTGCTCAGAACTGTGGCAGTAACTAAGATTGACCTCCTGACCAAAACTTGAGTTTTTCAACGTTCTCAAATATCAGGTACCTGGATTTTTTACTGGTCAAAAAACGATTAATTATTTGCAATCACTTATTGATCTCTTCGTTTTGGTTATTTGTATTACAAATGGTAAAAAAAATATGGTGACTTACCTCTAGTAACCGCAGGTAATTAAGTAATCACCTAACTTTTCTACCACTGACGCTGCTTGCTGTGGTTGGATAGGATCTTCATATAAGGAAACTACGACAGCTGTAACAAAAAAACAACTGAATATGCTATCTACGAACTTAGTGGACTGAAAAAATGACAATGCACATTTGACAAAAAGAATAATGGAGATATACCTTGATTTCTCCCCAAAATAAGCCAGTATCACGTTCTCCAAATATTTAACTTGAAGTATATACATTCCATTCCAGTGGGTGAATTGTTTCGTAAAAGTGAGAAAAATAACGAAATAGATTGCAGACTGATTAAGTATTCCAATTATATTTGTGATTTATGTCAACATTTTCTGCATAGTTGTGAAACCTTTTTTATTGACGATTACTGCTGTACCAATTTTTAAATTTAGATAAGTGGTAACTCGACTCACGTTGCCAACAATTTTTTGAACATTCGCCAAAAAATATCAAGAGAGCAACAATTTGATCGAAGATATTGAATTTGATAATTGGATTCATGCAATATTAAACCTGATGCGAAAATGCAATGTTTCCAGTTTTTTCCTCATACTGGGTATAATGAAAAGTTCCCATGAACTTATGTAGTTACACTTTTTCCGAGTTTCCCCAATATAAATGTTTCTTCACAGCTCAAAAACCGGTTAGCAGATTGTTTGTAATATTAAAATTCCACTATTGGCGTATTTAGATTCGCCTCAATTACATCAGCACTTCATTGTAAACCTGGAATATATCTAAGAACATCTTCCACTGAAAACAGATTATTTTTGAAAAATATTGCTACCATTTTTGTCCTAATCGTCCTAATTTTATCGTCCAGGAAGTCCCCGGTGACCGAATCTCTGGAAATTATAAAACTTTGATATCAAGTGATCTTGAGGTTATTTCAGTTATCATATTGGCTGCCTGTAAGATGAATGACATGTTTGTTTTGTTCTGTGACCCCTGTGACCGTTTTTAGGTTAATTCATAACTTTTCATAATTTTTATTTGATGAGTTTGTCTATGATTTAGACATTCAAGAAGTACCTGTGTACCCGTGTGAATATTATGTTGAGCCCATATTAGAGAAGAAAGGAAAGATCATCATAAAAATAACCAAATTTGCATAATAATCTCATTACCTCTTTTTCCGTGCAAAAAGTATCTACTAGCAACGACTCAACTAACCCATCATCTCTGGGTTGGTACCATGTCAATGTATGATACTTCATTACTTCAGTAGTAAATTTTCCATGTTGATGTGTGCTGTTACTGTACTGGAAATATTATGAAAAATAAGTTTTAATTTATGCTCTCATCATGACAACTCTGGATCCAAAGAATGTTCCATATTTTTATACCTAATATTTACACGGGTACACAGGTACTTCTCGAATGTCTGAATCAGATAAACTACACTAAATGGAAATTATTGAATGCTCCTTTTTTAATCGTTTTGTTTTGAAGTAACCTAAAAACAGTGACAAGGTTCGCGAAAAATCAAGACATAACGACATACAACAAAAATGAGTGTCATTTTTCGCAGGCAGCCAATATGATGAACTAAATCAACTTAAAAATCAGTTGACATCACAGTATTGATAATTTCACGAGATTCGAGAGTCGGGTGCATCCTGCGTGATACAAAAATCGATGAGGAGAAAGATGGCACCAATATTCTATGAAAATAACCTGTTTCCAGTGGTAGAAGTGTTTTAGCTATTTTCAAGGTTGGCAATGAATTGCTGAACTCGTCCATTGAACATACAACTTTCTTGTTTTCGCTATCACTTCTCAAAATTCTCTTTTTCTTTCTCCTCTTTCATTTGCCTGGGCATCGGATTGGGGCTATTTTTCTGAAATGTCTTTACCCAATGTTTTCATGATTTTTTAACTTTCGTCGGTATCTTCAAATCTCCCAACCGCCCTTTTTTTTCCTGTCTCCGCTATTGTATCCATTTTCCGTGGTCTCTCCTCAACTTCCCTGTTTCATGTAGTTTTTCGTTATTCTACTTGGTTCCATTCTAATCATTTGTCCATACCAATTCAGTCGTCTCTTCGTTATTTTTCAAGTTATTGATTCCTGTTTCAGTGTTTCTCTTATTGTTTCATTCCTTATTCTGTCCAACTTCGTATTTCAATCAATGTGTTTCATGAATCTCATCTTCATTCCATTTATTTTAGTCTCGTGTTTCTCTTAATGAGTCAAATTCTTTTCTCAAAATCAAGAAACAAAAATCTGAACCGCCCTGTATTATGCTAATCGTTTCTATTTCATGGCCATATTTGACCAGGATCATTTTTGATATTTCAGTACTATCTGAACATTCAACTCTAAGAAGTAATAATATGCTAAAAGAGAAATGGTTGTTTTTCGAAAAAAAGTGTGTCGGATCTCAGGTATGCAAAGTGCTGAAAATAGGATTTCCAACACATTTAGGTCAACAACATACATCGTCGGCAAGAATGTACAGAGAAGCACTTGCCAATTCACAAATATAGATTTGACAGTTTTACGGAAAATAACGCGCTGCTGATTTTTTTAAATGAAATTCAGGATTAAGATTAGTCACATGACACAATCTCTAGCACAATCTGTCACGTTACTGGAAGTACAGGGTTGGAAATATTTGATATACAGGGTGTATCTAAATAACACCGAAAAAAGGGATATTTCCTTGTGATATTCTAGCAAATAAAGTTCATATAAACATGTATCCTAATTTGCTCTGTTTTTGAGATACAGGATGTTACAGTTGGAAGTATCAATTGTTTTTTTTTTAATAACCCCCCTGTATAAGCCTTTCATGGTGCCAACATTCAGTATGGGTGGAGACTGAGAAAGCCCCAAAATTTCAGAATGATTCTAAATGGGGTTATTGAGTAATCTCAATGGAAGTCTTGAAAACACCTACATTAAAATTTGGAAAAATCGAATTTTTATTGTTTCCTCAAAAGCTGAGCTAGAAACAAAATTCACACAAATAATAAAAAAGTGTTCATTACAACAGTTCAATCTAATTAAAATATGAAACTCAGAAATACCGGTGGCATACAATGACATTCACCATGAATATCGATAAATTTAACCACTATGACGCCACTGAAAATATTATTTCGAATCTAATTGCACTAGAAGAAGCCCCATATCACTATTAACAAAACTACAAAGTTTTATTGAAATTGATGAAAAGACAATCGAGAAATGAATAGAAAAAATTGGAAATTGGAATTGGAAATTTGAATACCCTGTATCTCGAAAACGAAGCAAGTTAGGACACATGTTTATATGAACTTTATTTCCTAAAATATCACAACGAATCATCCCTTGAATTTTTTCGGTGTTATTTGGATACACCCTGTATATCCTCTGCCAACCGTGAGATGATTTTCCCCAAAAATGTCACTGTTCTTGAAATTTCAATATTAGAAACCTACGCAAATTTAAGAGAAAAATTCCATCGATTGCATTGATATATATATATTTACCGAAAAAAAAATTCTTGACTCATACGTCGAAAGCGATGTCATATCGTGAACGACGAGAACACATCGTGAATAACTCGGGACACATGACTCATGGATACGTCACGTTCCTTTCTCACGATACTGGAGTTTCCGGAAAAGCTAAGGAGTGACTAACTGGCTAGTTAATGTCTGGCTTAGATGGTTGTTTGTCGGTACCAAATGTCTGGGCACAACTACTATCTAGACCACTATATGTCAACCCAAATAAACATAATACAGTTTTAATTTTATACCACATTCGCGAATTTAGTTCCCTTCATTAAACAAAAAAATCCCCGACGGCTCTGCCAGCTTCATGTCAACCTTGCAGAACCATAGCTAAAAATTTAATACTTCCACAAATTTTAATAATAATAATAATTTATTACTATTTTATTACAAAACTCATAACTATGAACACGAATTTTTTACTCATCATTCGATGAAAAAAAAAACGCCAATTTGTCTATTTCGATCTCAAGCTAGCACTCGAGCTAGCAGTTCGGAAACATAAGTAAGACCGAGTAAAAAGTAAGATATGACAGGTTCTAGCTACGCATGGATTCATGTTCTTCAGTTCGATCTCGTAAGTGGTATTGCTTCTTTCTTATGGCATTAGCGGGCTATAGTGAGTATTTTGTTTTTTCGACTACTGTAATCTAGTATCTATTTCGATTACCCTTATTGATGGCTGAGGAAGAGGGTAAGACAACGAGCCAGATCCAGGACAGACTCTTGGAGTACCAAAACGTACAGCACGAGTGTCAGTTAGAGACTGTGAATTCAGCGAGGGATTCGGGCAAAACATAAGAGCTACTGCGAAAACATCCCAAGAAATTTACATGGGAAACAATAGCATTCAGGAACCAAGTCATAAATGAACTGTAGACCTGCTCAACTTGAACAGAGTACAGACAAAAACTGCCACGGGACTCATGACAGGCCATGCGCCAGTAAAGCAACACACCTCACCAGAATGGGAATGTATGATGGCTACCCAAGCTGCAGACTATGCGGAAAGGAACTAAAAACAGTATCACATATACTGTGCATATGTGAGGCATTGGACCGCTAAAGACAGAAGAGTTTGGACAACCAGTCGGGGAACCAGAAGAATTTAAATCACATCCAGTGAAGGATTTGTACAGACTTGTTCAAGGTACAGCGATGATGGATTGAGCACAATAAAAACTACTAGGTAAGATACAATGGACCACTAGGCCTAAGTGTCGTCGGAGACATCGGTCAGATGAGCCTACAAGCGGATATACTCTCGCAAGAGTCAGGGGACTCCCACACTATCATATGGGGGATTAGATCCATATGATGTGCGTAAAAAATGTCAACACCTCGACAAAAAAAACCTTATTGTCGCCGGGTTTCTAGCCCAGGATATTCCTAGACTTTTGAATTTTACATAAGAACCTCAGGCTAGGCTCATATATTTGAGGTACCACCCTAGAGGCAGTATTGTAGGAAAGTCTGTGATGAGCTTCAGCTCTAGTTTGCTGAGGCAGAGTAGCTATCTGATTTGTCCTTGACTTGGAGTTGCTTTTCAGCAAAAGGACGTTTTGGTCTCTTCCTGTTTCCTATGCTCTGCGATTAGGTGGCTTGCCCCACAAAAAGACTCCAAACCAAAGGGACTATTTTTCGGTTGGCACCACAGAGAGAAATGTCCTTCGACCAAGCATGTTCTGTGATAGGCTTCAACTTTGGCTTAATAAGGCAGAGTAGTTGTTCAGCTTATTTTTTTTGCGAATGGTTGATGGTCGCTACTAGAGCTGACTCATCAATCCCTTTCCATTTTCTGAACTCTGTCATCAAGTATCAAGAGGCTCAGATCCGTAGAACCCCATATTTTAGATGTTTATCTCAGAGGGCAGTGTCATGTGGAGGAGCCTGTCGTGTGAAGGAACCTGTCCTGTGAAGGAGCCTGTCATGTGAGCGAGCCTGTCCTGTGAGGAAGCCTGCCCTGTGATGACCTTCAGCTCTGGTTTGCTGAAAAAGAATAGCTCTTTGGACCCGTTTTGAGAATGGTTGATGAACCTTTTTGCCTATCGTTGATCTGGAATTGCTCTCCACCAATAAATTTCAGTATCTTCCAATTTCTTGAGCTCTGCCGTTAGGTGGCATTTTCTTGTTTCACAGAGAGGTCCAAGAAAAAATCCTTTTGAACTGGTACTTCAGAGGGCAGTGTCCTGTAAGAAAGTATGTCCTGTGATAAGCTTCACCTCTGGTCTGCTGAGGCTCAGTAGCTCATTGAACCCGTTTTGCTAATGATTAGTGGTTAGTAGTGGTTTTCTTGTCATTGACGTGGAGTTGCTCTAGAGTAGGACTTTCCAGTATCTAACCATTATCTGTCATTGACTACGCTTGTTCCACAAATAGGCTCAGGGCGAAACCTTGTCGTTGATCTAGAGTTGCTTTCCAGCAGGTATCTTCTCATTTGCTGAGCTCTACCTTAAGGTGACATTGGCTTGTTCATCAAAAAGCCTCATGACCAGAGATGGCTATCTTTATGAGTAGTAACTCCGAGGGTTTGTTCTAAAATTTGTTCTATCCGTCATTCGGTTGCCCCCTTACGAGCAACCCTCAAAAGTCTTCGAAAGTCCTGTGCGAGCAAGGAATGACGGGGGCCTTACCTTTTAACGTGTGATCCCAAACACTTTCTTGGGCCATCAGAAAAATTTCTGCAGTCGACGGGGATCGAACCCACGACCGGCAAGCGAATGCGAATTAGAATATAGACACTCTGTCCGCACGGCTACCTGGCCACCCAATCTTCAGCTTTGGTTTGCTGAGGCCTATCAGCTGTTTAGCACCGTTCAACCTATGAGGACACTTCAGTCACTTTATATTTCCTTCGCTATGCCATCAAGGGACATTTGTTTGTCCACAGAAAGCCTCACGGCTGAATAATGTAGCCTGGCGCATAGTTACCGAGGGGTTCCTCAGATGGCAACGTACCCCCAGGCCGTCGGATGGCATATTTTTCGGGACAAAAATTAGAGTGAATGAAAGAAATATCTCTCACCTTGCGTCGTTTTCATGCAGTGTACGCCAACTTTTCCAAGCTTCGCCCTAATAACGCGATCCGTGCCTGAGAGGTAGATGTATCGGTTGCCGGCCAAGGTGACGCCGGAGGATGTGAGGATGTCTTGTTTCTCGAAGCCTTGCACTAATTTTGCTAGCTCTTCTTTAGATACCTGCAACAAAAAGGAGAAAAGTTAGCCGAAAAGTTATCCGATATGAACTGATGGACAAATATACAGGGTGCAATTTAATTGATAGCTAAAAATATAGGATATGGTCCCTGAACGTCCCTGAACCTCTTAACTTTTGAGCTAGAGGGTGCTAAAATTTTGGGAAAAAATAGTTTTCTTATCACGACTCCAATACTGTTCTAGATATATTCATGAAATCTGACATGCACCTACTAAGCACCAATAAGCATTTTTAAACGGATTTTTCAATATGTATACTGGAGATTTTCCTGAAACCATATTGTTCGCCCTTGCTCTTTCCGGAAATAAAAATCATTTTCGGAATCCCCATTTCATTTTGCAACTAGCACGGTTGGTGTGCCCGTATGAAAAAAAAGACCTTTGTTGCAGTCGTTGAGCTATGCGCGTATCTACAGTACATTTTTTTATTATCATTTCTTAGTTTTACACCCATTTTCATTCTCTCAGTATCAGTTGTATTTTTTTTTGTTTTACGTATTAAAACTTTTAACCCAATCGGTCAAGCTTTTTAGTTGTTGACGTACCAACAGCAGCGCCACAAGTTATGTGAAAGAGATTAGTACAGAAGGATAATAATTCTTACTACCCGTTGTTGTATTACCCGTTTTCCCGTAGGAATGAAGCATTTTTGCCTATGTTCATCAGGGATGATGTCGGCTTCTAATGAAAAGAATTATTCAAATCGGTCCAGTAGTTCCGGAGCTTAAATACAAATAAACAAACAAACAAACAAACAAACAAATAATTGCTTTTCTGTTTATATCATTAGTATAGACAATTTGACCATTTCATGCATTTGTGTATAACGAAATTATTTTGCACTAGTGGGCTGGTGCCATATTTTGTATTTAAAATATTGACATTTAATCGATTACGTTGCGGTCATATTTTGACAGGTATTCATTAACAGTAGTTCCGGAGCTTAAATACAAATAAACAAACAAACAAACAAACAAACAAATAATTGCTTTTCTGTTTATATCATTAGTATAGACAATTTGACCATTTCATGCATTTGTGTATAACGAAATTATTTTGCACTAGTGGGCTGGTGCCATATTTTGTATTTAAAATATTGACATTTAATCGATTACGTTGCGGTCATATTTTGACAAGTATTCATTAACATGACAGATTTTTACATTGTGAAAGTTTATTTCAATCAATACTTTTTTCTTAAAATTTTAAAACCATATAGCCCGAAAGTTAAGAGGTTTAGGGCATAATGTTCATATGGAAATGAGCTGAGGAACCATGTCCTATACTTTTAGCCATCAATTAAATAACACCCTGTATTCCACCCTCAAAATCAAATATTTCTAAAAGTACAAGTCCGATTCTGGAACAGTCTGTTCGAGTATGTTCCATGTTGTTGGAAAATTCATTAGTTATGTGCTTTTTCCTCTTGATTGTTCTAGCTAGATGCTACATCTACATGGCAAAATCTACACCCCTTCCCTTTCAAAGACACAAACATTTTGCGATTTCGACGAGGGCATATTGTGATTACTAGAAGTGTTTTTTCGGAGCGTTTCAGAAATTTTCACCTCGAAGATATAGTTTCCAACCATAGGCGCCCTCCCGAAACAAATTTTTTGAAACGTCACTGGCCAAGAAGTATCATTTCTGATCTTATCAACAATTGCAACGGCTCGATTGTCAGTTTAATTTTAATTCAGTTTAACCCAGAACAAAATATGTAGTTTTTTTTTAACGCTCATACTCAAATCATGGTAATATGCCAGAATCGCCAGAGCCGACCCTGTCCCCCAGCCAAGAGAAAGTAAGATGGTATCAGCCAGAAACGCACTATAGCTCGATGTTAAATGTAAAGGTCACGTGATTCGATTGACCTTTATAAATCATCAACGAATCGGAGGTCACAGATGGAAAAATCATTAAGCCGATTTAAGCTAGCCTGATTTTTAACAACTAAAAATAGGCGAATTAGGTAATTTCATCCCTCTAATACTCTTCGAATTATCGCTAAAACGTATCATCTCATCGAAATTCAATGAGACAAAAATTAATGATTTACACTCAATTACTGACTTGACTTTCCAGATATTCAATTTAAATTAAAACTACTAAAATACTATGCGTTGTACAAGAAACACTTCATCAAAGAATTTACTATACAGTGTGACCCACTTCTCTTACGTAATCGTTGGGTAAGGATCTTGAAATTTGCTGGAGCGAGAGATATACCAAAAATGCACTCTATGACCAAGTGGGGTCATCTTCAGTGATATACACTGCTCGCCAACAGTCATGGAACCACCATAATTTCCGGAAACTGATGTTAGGAGTCAAAATAGGTAGAAAATCACTTCAGATTCGGAATCAGGACGCCCAATTCACTAACTATTCACATTTTTCCTTGAAAATTTTCAGTTCTGAGAAATTGAATTTAGTCGCACTTTTTACGGAAGCGCACCCCCGTATCTTACACCATTTTTTATTTTTTTTACTGAAATGAGATTTTGTCCTATTTTCATATCATCCTGTATATTCCACAATAGTGCTTATTTCGTCTTTCATTGTCCTCCACAAAACATGAGATCAGTTCTTCCCAATAGTCAGTCAGCTCAAGTGGAGTTCTATAAAAATTCAGGAAATGCAAAACTTTCGAAAAAAAAAATCGAATTTTTGTTCCAATGGCCAATTAAGGAGAAATCACGAAAACGTCCCGAGATGAGGTCTCAGTGTATCATAATATGCCTGACTTTTGATCAGAAAAAATTTTCTCGAGTTCTGGCAGCATTGGAAATGTAGACCATAGTGTAATGGTTCCACTTTACACCCTGTGTAAGTTTTGTTCTACGGACTTTTTCAGAGTATAATTAAGAGAACAAACTCAAAGTCTCGCTCCAAGTAAATTATAATCAAATCATACATGCTACATGTTTCGACTCCTAGGAGTCATCATCAGGCTTGCTAGGTAGGAGGAGAAAAGAAACTATAAAATTGACGACATAGTTCGTAAGGGTTTTAGGCCCCAAATATTTTTAAAAAACATTTTCAAAAAACATTTTTGAATTGAATTTTGAACCCCCAAATAAACATTTTTCCTAAGATGCTTCTTTTTGGATCAAACAAACATAGTGCAGTATGACTAGTCATACTTACGCCATTTTCTGTGCACTATGTTTGTTTGATCCAAAAAGAAGCATCTTAGGAAAAATGTTTATTCGGGGGTTCAAAAAACCAAAATTCAAAAATGTTTTTTGAAAATGTTTTTTAAAAATATTTGGGGCCTAAAACCTTTACGAACTATGTTGTCAATTTTATAGTTTCTTTTCTCCTCCTACCTAGCAAGCCTGATGATGACTCCTAGGAGTCGAAACATGTAGCATATATGATTTGATTATAATTTACTTGGAGCGAGACTTTGAGTTTGTTCTCTTAATTATCTCATCACCTCCAATTTGAGCATGGACTACTACCAGAGATTTTTCAGAGTATTCTATCTCTCTTTGAAGCCGATGAAATTTCACATCTGATATCGAAAACCGCATGAAGATCGGTCAATTTAAAAAAAAAAGGTTCTTCGGAATAGAGTCAAATTATGAGTGGTCCATTTAGTGTGTTGAGATACCATTGGTTTAGACTGAGAGTGTTTAGTCAGACAATTACGTTTTCAACTTGACACCCTGTATGGTATGTATAAACATGTCTACGTCAGAGTAATCTCACACCCGACATGGTCTGTCCCCTTGGCTCACTTTACATGTGGGCTTTGTTTTCTACGTGTTTATACCATATTTGTTACAAATAAACATTTTTTCCTATAAGGCATTATTGACATCTGGCGTACAGATAACGACTTGGCTCCGACTGAGTTGTCCCAGTTTTACGAAATGATCAACATCGTTTTATACTTTATACTGCAAGAACATAAATAAACAAAACCACAATGCCATTGTGACTACTGATATTACAGAGTGTAAAATAAGTGCTAAAGAATTAACGAGGTGATTCCTTGTCATATTTCAATTATATTGGTTGGAAAAGTATCAATTGTTTTTTATTGTCCTCCTCTATAAGCTTCCTTAGTTTTTTTTTATATTCTGGTTCCCACAAAAAGGGATATCCTGGTAATCATGAGAACCAAGGGAAATGAGGTAGGAATTGGTGTTCTTCTTAAATTTCTGGAGGTTATATGCCTCGGGGAACACCTCCCTTGGCAATGTGTTCCAGAGCCTCGCTGTTCGTTGGATGAACGAGTCTTTGGAAAGAGATGTTCTGCAGGTCTCCAAAGTGGCCACGAAGGGGTGCGAAGCCTCAACTCGGCGGGTTAATCTCGCGGGGACTGCCAAGGGAGGAACAATTGTTGATATTTCAGAAGAGCATCGTCCATGAAAATATCTATAAAATAGAGCCAGATCGCCAACATTTCTTCGGTGTTCCAGAGAAGTGAGTGAGTTTGTGAGCGAGGCATTACCCACGAGACGAATTTCCCTTTTTTGGACAGAATCCAACAGTTTCAGGGTATGTTTGGGTAATGCACTCCAAATATGGGAACAGTATTCCAGGACAGGTCGGATCTGTGCCTTATAGATCATAAGCAGCTGACTGGAAGTGAAATAACTCCTGGCTCGAAACAGAAAACCAAGTTTTTGGGATGCACTTCTAGCAATTGATCTCACGTGATTTTCCCCAGAAAGGTTATAGCTGATAGTAATACCAAGCATCGAAATGGATGTCTTCAAAGGTATGTTTACTCCAGATAAGCTTATGTTGGGCACATCAAGATCAGCTTTTCTAGAGAAAAGGCATGCTTGTGTTTTGTTTGCATTGAAATCTACCAAGTTATTGGATCCCCATTCGAGAATTGTTGCCAAGTCCATATTTATGTTGTCAACATTTCTCTCTCGTTTGTTTCTGATTTGCCTGGCTGGTATTGGGGCCTTGGAAGAGAAGGCGGTATGGAGGGTACTATCATCCGCGAAGCTGTGTAC